AACAGAAACTTGACAGATCAATATACTGTAATGTAGGCCACTGGATAGCCACCAGACAGTAATCACTTTAGTTATTACTGTCCTGGACTCCCAATTCCTGAGGAACACAGTTTCCACAGAACTAATAAACTTTGCACAAATGCAGTAAACTAAAGTCCGCTTTTAGTTACAACCAAACTAAAGTCACAGTCATAGATGAAACTAGTTGTTCATCTGTTCAGCTAATCCTACAGCCTTAGGCCAGCATCTGCCGTTGATGCTGCAGTAAAGCAAACTAATTGCAGTCAAGTCAGAGAGGATTTCTCTGATGTTACTCCATTTCTACTGTGTAACAGGGATCAAAATATGGCTCCTTCACTTTACCTCTCTTTGCTTTGTGAAATCACAATAGCTGACATTGTTTGATTTTATATCCTAGCTCTTCACCAATTTTAATCTGTAGATGGCAGCAAACTGTCACTTGAGTTTCATCATCTCCATACTTACTCACTGTTCATCTGTCTGTCTGTCTATCTTAAGAGTTTTATCCTGCTGCCCATCACTATAGTACTTGAATGCCTTCCACACAGAATCAACAGCAATAGCAAGATCCACAGGGGACTTCACAGAGCCTCTGAAACTTCTTCCTTTTGACGTCACAACTCAATTTGAGATAGGGGTATTGTCATTGAAGGTTTGAGGATGGAAAAGGTACAGTGACATGGCCCCTGTAAACCCTGCAGATATAGCAATCTCATCTTTCCTCTTCCTACCAATTTATTAGGGGATGGGGGTCTGGGTCTATGTCATGAAAGGAGTATTTCTCCCTGGGTTTGCAACAGTGTTTCTGATTGGATTTAATACACTTCTTCTACAGGTTCCTCCATTTACCCTAGGAATTGAAGGGGATTGTCTTCTGTGATTCTGCAGGAGCATGGAGGTTTAACCATTACAGACTTTCAGTGATATCCAAGTGCACTTTCCCAGATCCCTTTCCATTACAAAGATCCAGTACCTTGTACTGAGTACAAAGGATTTCCTGCAGAAAAAGATTTCATGAAGGCAAATTGCAGTAATAAACTTAAAATGTCCAAGGCTGGGGAGCACATTGCCATCAGCATATGTGATGGAAGGTGCTACCTCTATGCTCTTGTAGGTATGGTCTAGATGCTGGTCTTCTATGAAATGAGACACATAAGTCTCAATCCAGTTCCAGACCACAAGTGTCCACATCCAATTGCCTCTACCGTGACTGACACTAATAGCCCCTTTGTCAAGAACAACAGGACTACTTAGGGAGACTGGGCACTGAACTACTCAGTCCACAGAAACTGAACTCGTTTTTCACCCTTCCAGGAAGGGGCACTCTCAGAGTAGAATGGCCCATACAAGCATGGCTATGGGCAGATGCAGCAAAGCAAATCTCCCTTGCCCCACTGCTTTGCAAAAAGGGGGGCTCAACTTTGCTGTAGCGGATCTACATTTAAGGATAAGGGGAGCTCCATCTCCATGGCCTTTCTAGTCCCTTTCTTCAAGAACTATCAACAAGCCATTTATGACATAGCAGCTCCATGTTTGCTACATATTTGGATACTGGATGCTGACTTTAACAGGCACTTTAGGGCTGCATTTTATTTTGTATGCACAGGCACGACCATGGAACTGCAGGCTTTGATATCTGTGCACAGTTTGGGAGTCAATTTTACTCTGCAGCCAAACAGAATCGCCTAGATACAAGATACACATCCTCTGGCTTATGCTTCTCCTTCTGGCTCCACATAATGCCTTTTCTTAGCTGCTGTGGGGACCAGCTTGAAAAGGAGGGTTTGAAAAGGGTCTGGGTAATGACTAGCGTGTGACCTGGAAGTTAAAATATTTTTGTAGGAAGCAGGAAATGTAAATTCCAGCCCATCTCTGACCTCCTCAATCTAACACCTGGTAGTCATGGTTCTTCTGTTGCAGCTATAACTTTGGGACTTACGCAGCCTTATTCACATACCTGGGCGATCCCATTTTGCAGTGAGCTGCCCAGCCAGAGCATGGCCCCATTGAGTATAATCAGTGGGTGTACACAGGCTTGTGTACCTGGACCTGAACTACAAATTGCATGCACATGCCAAAACTGTAATTTAGTGGCTGAGTATATGCCACTTAGACTCATAAAGGAAAATAGCATTTTGCTCTTACTGTGATTTGGTATGAGATAGACTGCAAGGAAAAACAAGCAACAAGAAAAACTGGCTCAAGATAAGCTAGCCTTTGAAAAGCACTTACAAATTATTATAAGATCATGCTGGAATGAACAAGACCCCAGAAGACAAAATGATCAAAAGGACTGTACAGTTTAAAAAGGGACGTTGTCAAGATAGAAACACCTATTTGCTTGGGATGTGTTCAGAGATCAGAACAATGACCAATGACTAAAGTCATTGAAGAAGCTGGGCATGGCTAGGTCCCTACTGCCAGACTGGCATCTTTCTTTAGGTAAGATGGACATGAGCATGGACTGTTTGCTGCTTTAAAATCTTTTTTCTCTAAATCAGAGATTCTCAATATTAGCACCATTAGGGGTGTAGACTAGGGGTGTGCGAAGCAGGCCCTATTTGATTCATGTTGGATTCAGCCCAAATCAGGGACAGTGATTCGATTAGTTGATTCAGATCACTGTCTCTGATTTGATTTGGCTGAATCCAAATCTGAAGATTCGATGCTGATTCAGAGAATCAGCGATTTGGACACAGAGACAGCTTTAAATGTTTTTTCTACATACCTTGAGGTAGCAGGCACGGCTTGTGAATGCTGCGATGCTGGGGGGCATGGGGCGTCCCACAGGAGGGCGGGGGGGCCCTCCACTTGCTCGGTGGTGAACCCAGAAGTGGACTGGAAGTACTTCTGGGTCTGCTGGGGAGCGTGCTGGAGGAGCCCCCCCCGTGCTCCCCCGGCTCAGCGATCAGTTGCAGGGGGACCCCGGGTGCCCCCCCCCCCCGACCCAGGAAGCACCAGTTGCCGAGCTGGAGTGGGGTGCAGGAGGGGCCACCCATGTGCTCTCTGGCAGATCCAGAAGTGGACTGGAAGTGCTTCTGCTCCATTTCTGGGTCTGGTGCTGAGCATGCTGGGGAGCCCCCCATGCTCCTGTGGGACACTCTATGCGCCCCAGCATTGCAGCATTCACAAGGCGCCTGCTACCTAGAGGTGTGTAAAAAAAACATTTAAAACTGTATCTATGTCCAAATCTCCGAATCTTTCCGAATCTCTCCAAATTGATTCAGAGGGTTCTGATTCGATTCAGAGAGATTAAACGGTCCTCTGATTTGATTTGGATTAGGAGATTTGGCTACCAAATCAAATCAGGGACCAAAGCTTTGCACAGCCCTAGTGCAGACACCTACACATTCTAAACCCAGAGATTTCAAAGGGGAATCCAGAGTATCAAAAACATTCTGATCTGTTGTGGTGTTTTTTTGCAACAGATGAAAATGTTGAGAGCCACTATTCAAAATGTTTAGCTCCCACAGCTAAAATAAATCATACTTTTGTTTGAGATACCTTAGTCACTGGATTCAGCACTGGTCTTAGACTCTCAGGGCACGGCCAGACTCTCATGGCACGTCCAAACACATCTGCAGCACCACATACCACACAGTCAGGTATTCTCTGCACTGCAAGGGTGTGCTGCCTGTGTGTGTGCTGCTCCATTCTTTTTCCATGGGTTTTTTTGACCCCTGGATATCCAGGGGTCAAAAAAACCTGTGGAAAAAAAGGCGGAGCAGCACATGCACAGGCAGCACACGCTGCTGAAAAACAGAGCCGGGCTGCCTGGAGCTGCACTGAAGCTGCTAGCCTGGTTTGGCCTGGCAGGATCACTGGTGCTGCAGTCCTGGGAGGCTCCCAGGACCCCTGTAAGGCTGCTGAGGCCAGCTCAGTGCTAGCCCCAGTCTCCCCTACTGCCCCTGGGGTAATTTGACACATACCAAAGTACACATGGCATGGGCATTCCCTGGGGATAAGTAGCTGCAGTGCAAGGTGTGCCGCTGCTACTTGAACCCAGGAAATTAAAAGTCTGCGCTCGTCTGGCCATGGCTTCAAAGGCAGAAGGTAAGGAAGGTGACATGTTAGTCTCTAAAGTAGTGGTTCTCAAAATTTTTAGACTCAGGGAACCACTGGCTGGATTCAGGGCACCGCTCAGAAACTGCTAGCTCTCAGCTTTCACTCATTGCTTGATTATGGAAAAAATAATAGAGCAATTCTTCTGTTGCAAAGATTTCAGAAAGACCACAATGGATCAGAATGCTTTTGGCACTATGAACTCCTATTTAAAAACTCTGGGTTTACCTTATGAATCATGTGCATGTCTAACAGTGCTAATGTTGCATGGCACCCCAGTGCACCCTTAAAAGGATCTCATGACACCCTGGTTTCCTGAGACACCCTTGTTGAGAATCACTGCTCTAAGGTGCTTTCCTGTCCTACCTTCTTCCTGACTACAGACCAACATGGCTAACTACCTCTTGAGACTCCCAAAGGGAAGAACTGCAGGTGCCAGAATGCAGTCTGATCTGTTGGGTAAGCACTGTTGATGCATAGGGTGTGATCACCTAGGACCCAGTCTGATAGTGGGAAAACTGTGTACTTCCAGCACAGACAGCACGAAAGGGCATGGCCTGACACCGGGAGTGCAGGCAGAGAGACCAGAGAAGACAGAGGTGTAATTAGCCCTGAAGTTGTGACACTTGCTTTGTGACATCCACATGTGTCCATTAGAAAGTGGACTTAGCATACCCCGCCCCCCCAATTCATTTCACACAGGCCACGAACAACAATCAAATAGTTACAACTTTAATTCCTGGGCTGAATCAACATAGGATCACTCAGTTATGTTGTAGAAAAAGGTTCTGGCCACATTTGCCAGCCCCTCATGCCAGCCCTTCCCTGAGCCTCACAAATCCTTTTGGCCTCAGCAAGAACATTCTTATGGGTGAGGACCACCTTTGCTGTGTTCCATCCTGAAGAAAGCATTTCTGCATCAGTTTGGTATGTCTTGAGGACAAGCTGTTCTAGTGGAAGAACAGATATGGACTCACTCTGTTATGCTGACTTGCAGAGGTGGAATGGCATAGGAGTATAGCAGCAGCATGAAGCTGGTCAGGAGGGTTCCCAGGACAAGTCCTTTACACATGGACCTCCAGTGTTTTGTCTGGTGCAGCATCGCGGTCACCTGCAAGTCCCAAAGAGAAGTGGAGTTAGCATGGCAAGCAGAGAAGCCTTCGGTAGCAACCTTGTCATCTGAGCAGAGACAGACAGATTGACTGACTGAGAGTATGGGAGAGGGAGAAGCGAACAGGACAAAGGAAATGTGGGTGGATAAATTACAATGAGGCTTGAAACAGCCCTGGGAATAAAAGCTGTGGAGGTCTGATGCTGCTAGTCTGGTTCCACAGATGAAAACAGTACTGTACACAAACATAGAAAGAGGAGTTTCCAGAACTGAGGAGTCCACAAGCTGGTTCAAACAGGCAGAGGGCCCCATAGTTAGAGCGCAAGCCTGCCAGGTAAGGGTGGAAATAGACATTGCCTTTCTTCACCTTTGTGCCACCATAATTTTTTTTTATAGCAGCACAAAGGGCAAGCAAATAGACATCTGTTGTCATGCCACAAATGCCCAAAATTTGTGGCCGTGACAGGAACGGTAATAGACTGTGCTGCTTTACTGCAGCAGACATTTCTTTGGCGGTGGGAGAATAGGGGCAGCCAGAGCCCGATCCTGCACACCTGGGAAATCCTGAGCAGGACTGGGCCCCTCAAGCCCCTGGAGTGCCTGTCCGTCTTTCCTCTTTTACAGAGATGTGCCCTGGGAAATCCTGGTTAGTGTCTCAGTAAGCAGGGAAAGCCAGGGTTTCCCTGCTTATGGAGACATATCCCTGGGATCTCCCAGGCATCTCTCCATAAGTGAGGAAAGCCCAGGGTTCCCTGTTTAAGGAGATACATCTGGGAGACGCTGGGGGTGTCTCTCCTTAAGTGGGGAAAGCCTGGAGTTCCCCAGTTCTGGAGATAGACCCCTGGGGGTATGGGGTGACACAGGAACTGAGGAATTCCTGAAGCCCCATGCTGGGACTTGTGCTGGGTCCTGTGCTGAGCCGTGTTTTCTACAGAGGCTGGGACCTGCACTGACCCGTTCCTCTACATGAAGCATGCGGCAGTGCGGGTCCTGGTGTGGAAGTATGGGTGTTGGGGATTCTCCAGCTCCTGTGCCACTCCATGCCTCTGCACCATCCTGTGCCGACCCATGCCTCGATGTGAAACATGGGTTGGCACAGCATCTGGTGCAGGTCCTAGCATGGAGGCACAGGTGCCAGGAATTCCCTGCCTTCCACACCACCCTTTGCCTCCTTGCCAAGATCCATGCTGACCTGTGCTTCATGCAGAAGGATGGTCAGCATGGGTCCCAGCAAGGAGATGTGGGGCAGCAAGTAACGTGGAGAATCCCCTGGCAAGGGGAACATATTGCCCCTTGTCCTGCATCAGACCCCTGCCTGATGTGGGACAAGGGGCAGCATATGATTTACCCAATAAAGTAGATCCTCTTCAATTTGATGATGTCTGTTTCTACATCACTGTAGCAGCGCGCTATACCCACATGTAAACCCACGTGATCACTACACTGCTGTAATGAGCCGTACGGCAATGTAGCACGTTGCTACATTGCCATAGGGCAACGTGTAGACGTGCCCTATGGTGCTCAGATAATGAGACCTAAGATAGAGCAAAGGACACAAGGGACTGTGATGGGGGAGAGGATGGAGAAAATGAAAGAGTACTTTTGGCAGATGGAGATAGCTTCACAGAGAATGTCTTAGTTATGTTTGAACTTATTATTTTAATAATTCTTTTCTCTGTCTCTCCCATCCATGTATCTCAAAGCAATCATTGTTTCCATTTTACAATAGGAAAGCTGCAGCACTGGGGTGTGGGGAAAAGGTGTCACTTCTCTAAACCCATAGATAAACTCATTACCAGAGCCTGGTAAGCTTAATCATCTTGTATCCCCCTATTCTATCCACTGGACCATTTTCATGCCCCCAATCAGGAGTAGACACCAGAAGTGATCCCCTGTGAGACCACTGTCTCCTATTGCCTCTTATTTCACTGGTAATACATTACCTGCCCTTCGGGCTGGGGGCTGGACTCGATGATCTTCCGAGGTCCCTTCCAGCCCTGATGTCTATGTCTATGTCTATGAAAAACTCCTTCCCTGGAGAATGACTGCAACTGAAGGAGTTGCCAGGAATGTAAATAATATGCAGATTATGACATAATATGGCA